CACAGTATACTGGCGTTTCTCTTTCATTGTAGTAAGCAATAGTTTCTTGGAGCGTAAATAATGCGGTCTCTGCTCCAGCACCTTTTCTAAAACCAAACTGAAAGGGTGAGGAAAATTCTTTACTTCTGTTGCCCAGCTTTCGATTCTATTCAAAAGCAATCTTTCAAAAGTTTACCTAAAACTGGAGTAAGTGTGATGCCTCTGTAATTAGAAGGGTTATCCTTACTTTTACCATGGCCTTTGTGGATTGGGAGTATATTCCCCACACTAAACAACTTAGGAACATATTCATAAGAAACAATATCATTATAAAACGTAAGAAGGTGGTTGATGAGTGATCTTCCACTAAATTTAACATGCTCATTTACAATATGATCCGGGCCTGGGGATTTACCCGTCTTCAATGATTTTACAGTTTTCAATAGTTCATCACCAGTAAATGGACATAAAAGATTCATACTGGTGTCATTACAGTCATCAACGTCTTGTCTTGTGACAAGATCTTCAATAAAACTATTAACAAAACAGGTAAAATCTTGATCAAAATTGATATCTTCATACGGCTGGGAGAGATCCTAAAGTACTTAGCAAATAGGTTACAGATACTTTCTGGAGTGTCACAGGTCTCGTTCTCGTACACAAGGGTTTTAACTCGTTCTTTATTGCGTTTGTACTTTTTGTAACCCTGGTATATTCCTGAATATCAACTTCGGCTGCTTCATAGATGTCCCTGAACTTTTCATCTTGAAGTTTACGTTTTGATCGGCGATGTTTTTTTCGAAAGATTCTCTTAGCCTGCTTATATTTTACGTAGTGAACATCGTCCTTATTTCGTGGCTTACCCATATGGACCCATTCTTTACGTGCGTGTCGCATATCGTTATGACATGGCTTTAAATTATCCCTCTTCCAGTAGGGTTTTAAATGGGATTGAAATTTTGAAGCAGGAATACTGATATTGGCTGAAGCATGTAATGAATCAAGGATGAAATTATGGTAGGCTTCAATATACTCCTCTGGTGTGTTGTAATCAGCTATATCTAAACTGACATTTCTGAAATAATTTTCAGTCTCATAGCGATAAAGCATCAGATCAATGCTGTTGGCCTTTCGCCAGTTTAACTTTTCACCCCATAGTGATATTGACGTACATCATCAGTTACATGCATACAAATAAGTATAGGGTAGTGATCTGAGACAGAGTACGGGATGGAATAGTCAATATCATAGCCAACAATGCTACTTCTACAATCAGTGTTAACAAAACATAATCGATCATAGTTTTAACCTGTCTACATTTACTAGTGTAGGTGTAAGCATTTTGATTGTCCAGTGGTACAATCGAGATCAGGTCACGTTCCTTCAAAGCTCTCTGCAAACACTTAGCTCGAGGTTTTAATGCTGAGAGAGTCCGAAGGTCAGTATTAAAATCACCAAGTATTACAGTTTGTCCATGATATGAGCAGGTATCGTATACATCCATAGCATTATGGAGTTCTTCTGCGTAGACAGTGTCCATGACATTAGACGATGGAAGTCGCACACCAACTATGTACACTGGAATGCCACATTTAGTCATCTTAACACCAATGATGTGTTCACTGTTCGGTATATTTAATACCGAGACACTACAACTATCTTGCTTCCTGATGAACAATGCAACTCCACCAGCTCCTCTAGGTGAAGAATGGTTCTGCTGGCATTTGACACACACATGGAAGTCGTCATGAAGATCAGTTAGAATTGGTTTCTGATTGTCATTCAGCCAGTGTTCACTTAGGAACAGTATATCACAGCTATCCAGTTTATACTTGAGTTCCGACAAACAGTTCGTAACACCACGAATATTCCATGTAATGACACGAGATAATGACATTACAAGAATCAGTATGTATAAATTGCAAGACATATATTACTGTCCGTTACCTTCATGTCCATTATCGCCGTACCATGTATTATTCGGAACCCATTCCCGACAGTTCACGTTTTCAGGCCAGAAATAGTCGTCATCCATGATGACGTCAGCAGAGTCTCTAGTGACTGTAATTCGTATGGTGTATGTCGGGTTACGCGGACTGTCCCAATGCTTCATCAATCTGGTATGAGATATCACAACGCCACGGTCTTTAGCGTAATCCACTATAGCGTCTTTGATGATGTCAAAAGACTTGTCAGCCCTGACATAACTTAGCACTAAACGTTTATTCCTATGCTTCGAAACACCACTAAATGACTTTTTCCACTCATTGTTGAATGTCACAGTTCTGGCTTTCCTTGTATTGCTCTGGGTTTCATTATCAGCACGCTCATCGTAGGGGTGAGAGTGTTCACAGATGATTACGTCATTGTCGGTTGGAGTGATTGGTGTATCCTTGCGAACAATAACCTGTGGTGAACTTGGCATACGATGGGCTTGTGCTGCTGTGGGTGCGCTTGGGGCTTGAGCATGCACTTTGTGGATATCGTCAAAGTCAGCATCTGACAACTGATTACCTAGCTTTACAGTGTCCGAATACAATAACTTGTTTCTTGTGTTTATGCAATCCATCTTCCCGTCAACTGCACGTACACTCTTATCAATAGAGTTTAGCATTGTAATGAAAGTGTCCTTTGAGTCTCTCAATTCTGCTTCACTTTGTTTAAGTTGATTGCAAAGTTTTAGGTTTTCCGCTTTCAACACTTTTTCTTTGGACAACAACGCTAGGACAGGCACTGACGTTGTATTTACAGGTATGTTTCAAAGGGATTAATTAAAGGTACAGATGACGTGCACTCTATATGTTCCAAGGGGAGATGACGCACTCGTTGTCTTTACCAGCGAAATTTATATAATTGTTTACGCATGTATTACTGGTTCCAACAGTCATTTGGAAACTCGTACTTCACATATTTTGTTTCCAAATCAAACCGCTAGGTAAATCGGTCTCAGCGAGGACGGGTACGGACAGGTATTTTTTTTTAAAATATCTGAAACTTCTCGGTTCTCCAGTAAAGGTACTGATGAGGTACGCTCTGTAAGTTCCAAAGTGTGCCACAATGGATAGCACGCCCATTGTTTTACCGGGGATCTTCACATAATTGTTTACGCACGTATTACTGACTGTTAGGGTCATATTGAATTCATTACAAGGGAAGCGTACCAAAAAGGAATTAGAAAAGAAAAATATATACATGCTGTGTTGCTTTAATACCTGTTACCTAAGAAGATCATCAGGCTCGCTGACTTGGTTGACACATGTTATCGTATCCCAATTGCTTAGATCGTTGCTCATGCTGTTGACCACTGGATTGTAGAGTAGAGACTTGATTATTTACAGACCGCCGCCATATAGCTGGAATATTGCTGAGTGAGGCTTTAAACAACAAACAAACAAACCGAACAAGATCGATTTTAATTAGACATGGGTGTCTTAGGCCTACAGTCGTCGCAAATACGTCGTGAGTCCAAGCAAGAAGATCTCCGGCAACTTGTGTCGTTATACTTTTCGAAGAACAACTGGGGACGGTGGGTGGCATAGTAGTTAAAGCGTTCGCTAACCGAAGACCCGGGTTCGGTTCCCCACAGGGTACTATTCAAGAACCCCATTTCTGCTGTAGCAGCCATGATGTTGCTGGAATATTGCTAAAAGCGGCGTATAGCTACACTCTAAGAACCACTAGGAAAGAGATCGTGACTCTATCTCGAAATATGGATACAAAAAGGCAAAAGTACAACTATTTTAGGTGAGGTGAGGTGAGGTGAAATTGGGTTTTAACGTCGTGCTTGAGAACATTTCGCTCATATGACGACGTGCATGCGTGTGTATGAGTATGTGCGGCTGCTTGTACTAGCCCAGACTGAAGCTGGTTTTATAGTACTAGCTCACCGAGTTACCATGCCGCAGTGGAGCATGAATACCCCACTCAGACACAGTATACTGACTCCGAGCCGACCAGTCCTTGTTGTACCCATTAATGCCGAGCGCCAGACAGGGACCAACAAGTACCATATTTTAACGTCTTTGGTATGACGCGGTCGTGGATCGAACCAGCGACCTTCCGCTCTCTGTCCGGGCGGATGCTCTAACCACTACACCACGGAGGCGGTCACAACTATTTTAGGGGAGAGACCGATGAATATCCAGGTTGCAAATATTTTACCTTTAGTAACCTAGGCTTGTGGTACGAGGCGACTAACGGGATCGGGTGGTCAGGCTCGCTGACTCGGTTGACACATGTCATCGTATCCCAATCGCGTAGATCGATGCCCATGCTGTTGATCACTGGTTTGTGAAAATGTACAACTGTGTTGTTTACAGAATTAGTATTCATCCGCAGGCTGTACCAAAAGTCATCTTAGTAGTTTGGTGACCCTTTTTGACTCGATGCGTGTCGTATTTTCCCGCTCAATCACGTGACCCAAACAAGAAACGTTACGTCATCAATTCGCAGGTATGCCAGAAATAGCAAAATGCCCAAGGACATATATATATATATACGACGCCTTACAGCAATGTGTCTGGACTAAAGAGTAAATAAAAATGTTGACATGCACATCACTCTTTTGTCACAAATATTCGTGGTTCTTTGGCAACGCGAAAGCAGCACATAATTAATCATTTTACATATCCTTCATTCGATAAGGAAGCGAAATTCGGACGAAATGGTTGACTGGTTTTGTGTCCCCCGAGGCGTCAGTCATCAATCCTGCAAATGACAGACATCTTCAGAAAACATGGACAGGTGAACCCGTGACCCTTCGCACTGAAATAACACTGTGTGACTCTGGTGTATCAGATGTGCTGGACATTTAGGTGACCATCTGATGATTTACCTTACAGTCATATTGTTTATACATTGTGTACACAGACATAAAGTTACACTTGTACACGTCGAGGCAACTATGTGCCTATAGTATTACAAAATTTAGATTGAATACCCGGGAAATGTTTTTCTACGGAGCTAATGTACATATCCTGTTTGGATCTTCTATTCATTCACTCGACCTGTGTTTGTTTCAGGCGGCGGATAGACGACCCCAACTACACCATCAGAGGCGTTAGATTTCGTAGATCATGAGTAACCCAGTATTATGAGATACTTCCTGCTGCTTGGACAATCAACTGGTTCTGTATGTCAAAACTTCACTGCACGTTGAGCTACCGCCTGACTGGGAGCCTGTCTTAGACCGACCGCGTTACAGACGAGACGCAGTTGCAAGGAGGGAAGGAAATACAACAGAGTTTGGATATCACTACGTTCACAAAGGAAGCGTGTGTGTTCAGATATCACTGTTTACAAAAAAGATTACACAGCGTGATATATCTGCTATCACAAAGAAAAGGTTTATTGCTTGGATATCATGACTTTCACAAAGAACGGATATATAATGTGATATATATTCTTTCACAAAGGAGGGCTTTGCTTGGATATCACTGCTTTCACATCGAGTTGTATGTAACCTTGATATCGTTACTTTCACAAAGGAAGGATACATATCGTGAAATCTGTGTTTTAACAAAGGAAAAATATATGGTGTGATATCTGTGTTTTCTCTATGATGGGATATATTGCGTGATAATATTCGTTTCACTGAGGTAGGATATATTGCTTGGATATATATTGGATTATTTGCTTCAATCATCACTTTGCGGACGGTTGGTATGTGCACACAAACATCTACAAACATTGATTCATCTGTTTGAAAGACAGCCTGGTTAGTGTACCTTTCACAAAAATGCTTTTCACGGCAGGAAATTGATTTGGATAGAGTATACCAATCTGTACATTTCCGAGAAGTTGTGGAAGTCAATTTTGGGGAAGAGGTGAAAGGCATTATTGGATCAAGATGAGGCTGACAATTACCTGCAACCGAACCAACGCACTGCTCTGTCTCGCTGTCCTAGCATCACTCTGGACCATTCTATACTTTAACTTGTCTCACACCAACAGGCAAGCTGTCAACAGAATGTCAATGGTCTCCCAAGTGCCGATAGGGGTTGTTGCTGTTGCTGCTGCTGCAGTCGGTGACAAGAAACCAGTTGACAAACCCGCACTTTCTGGGAAAAGTGACTTCCTGTTGAAGTCCGAACTCGTCGGCGCCACGGTGGTCACGAGGTCAGCAACAGACTGGTCACGTGACGATGGTACGTGCGATGGGGATGAGCATTACGTGAAGACCGTGCTTCATTCTGTAGCGGGGGACCTGCCAATCTTTGTCCACCCAAAGAAGATTGATGTGTGGGTGTCGGGAAATGTCATCGACGGCAGGGTGTGGGAGCACGACCAAGTCAGGAGATTCCACGACATTGTAAAACAAGATGGCGACCTGCAGTTTGTGGATATAGGCGGTAACATTGGCGTTTATGGATTAACCATGGCCAAGCTTGGACGGACGGTGTTGTTTGTGGAACCCTTATTAAAAAATGTACAGAAACTGTGCAACTCAGTGCGCGCTGGGAAGTACCCGAATGTTTATGTAATTCATAACGCTTTGTCGTCGACCAGGTTCAAGGTCGGCTTCGGAACGTATGAGGGAAACGTCGGCGGAACATATGTGAAAAACGCATCGTCATCAGGCGAGACAGCTCAGGCCGTGCTGCTCGACGACGTGCTAGAAGTCTTCAAACTGAAGAAAGTCGCCATCAAACTCGACGTCGAGACTCATGAAGCAAAGGTACTACTCGGAGGAGATAACTTTTTCAAATCGGTCGACGTGAGATATCTTCAGCTCGAATGGGGACCTCACAGGAAAAACCCGGATGGAAGGGAGATAATCGACTTCTTGACCAGATATTTCATGAAGCCTTATCACCCAGCTACTGATCAGCTTCTGGACACGAAGGATTATAGTACATGGCCCGGGGATGTGTTCTGGAAGAAGACAACGTGATAATTCAGGGACTGACCATTAGATGAGTGTTGCAAGTGAATTAAAGTAATATGTATTTTGAATTATATCACTATAGAAATTAACCATTTTGTGACGTAAGTGAACCAGTTACGTGTTAGTGATCCGTTGGTGGGGTGGGGTTGTTTATGATCTGAGGGAGACAATCTGAGTCAGCGATCTCATGGAAGTCAGTATCTGGGGAAGTAAGGAAGTTCCCTTACTTAGGTGGAAGCAGTTCATTAAAATGTAGAACTTCAGAAAACAATATAAGTGAAACAATCTCATTAAAATCAAGACTCCATTGCTCTCTGCGTTAAGATCTGATCTGAATACTCAGGGTAGAAGATGACATTTTCGATGCATTCTGACTTCTGTATTTCCAAAACGCCTGCAGCCAGGGTGCAGTGACCACAAAAACTGCGATGTGACATCGTTGTGAATATTTGCAACACTTTTTTAACGCCAAAAGGGATAAATGTCGAGGTGTTTGTTTTCTGGTTCGGTTTTCTGTTCCTTGACCTGTGAAGATCCAGGTTAGAATTGATCTTCAGAGATCCATGTTTGTCGTAAGAGGCGACTGACGGGATCGGGTGGTCTCGCTCGTTGACTTGCTTGACACATATCATCATATCCCAATTGTCTGTGCCAGGGGGCGGTGGGGTAGCCTAATGGTTAAAGCGTTGGCTCGTCACGCCGAAGACCCGGGTTCGAATCCCCACATGGGCACAATGTGTGAAGCCCATTTCCGGTGTCCCCCGCCGTGATGTTGCTGGAATATTGCTAAAACGGCGTAAAACCAGTCTCAGTCAGTCAGTCAGTCTGTGCCAGACACGATTATTTACAGACTGTCGCAGCATAAAACTAAACTCACTCACTCACTCAAACTTCCTTGTTGCGAATTGGCTTATGGCAGCTAAGTACCCAGCTATAAAACAAAAAAATATGCAGCTATCAAACACAAAGATGGGATCCAAATCTGTCTTGGTAATTGAATCATCCCCATAATTAGAATTCCGAAAATGCTTTCAGTGCGAGGATAGTTTTCGTTCCTAACAGGGATATTTCCAAATATTTGTATCACAAGAGTTTCCATCTATCTTATTTCTTCTCGTTTTGACATGTCTACAGAAAGTTTCACACTAAACGTTTTATCCTGTATACTGAAAAGCTTCACACTGAACGCTTTATCCTGTATACTGAAAAGCTTCATACTGAACGCTTTATCCTGTATACTGAAAAGCTTCACACTGAACGCTTTATCCTGTATACTGAAAAGCTTCATACCGAATGCTTTATCATGTTTACTGAAAAGCTTCATACTGAACGCTTTATCCTGTATTCTGAAAAGCTTCATACTGAACGCTTTATCCTGTAAACACAAGGTTTGATACTGAACACTTCATCCTGCATACTGAAACTGACGGTTCTGTTCTCTACCCTGGTATATCCCCGCCACGTAGCTAAACTAAGTCGGCGTGGGTTTTATTCCCCACATGGGTACAATTCATGAAGCCCATTTCTGATGTTACCTGCCGTGATATTGCTGGAATAATGCTAAAAGCGGCGTAAAAATAAACTCACTCACTCAATCAATCCACAGGGTGGTGGGGTAGCCTTGTAGTTAAAGCGTTCGCTCGTCGACCCGTGGACCTGGGTTTTATTCCCCACATGGGTACAATTCATGAAGCCCATTTCTGATGTTACCTGCCGTGATATTGCTGGAATATTGCTAAAAGCGGTGTAAAACTTAACTCATTCACTCACTCAATCCACAGGGTGGTGGGGTAGCCTTGTAGTTAAAGCGTTCGCTCGTCGACCCGTAGACCTGGGTTTTATTCCCCACCTGGGTACAATTCATGAAGCCCATTTCTGATGTTACCTGCCGTGATTTTGCTGGAATATTGCTAAAAGCGGTGTAAAACTTAACTCACTCACTCACTCACTCAATCCACAGGGTGGTGGGGTAGCCTTGTAGTTAAAGCGTTCGCTCGTCGACCCGTGGACCTGGGTTTTATTCTCCACATGGGTACAATTCATGAAGCCCATTTCTGATGTTACCTGTCCTGATATTGCTGGAATATTGCTAAAAGCGGTGTAAAACTAAACTCACTCACTCACTCAATCCACAGGGCCGTGGGGTAGCCTCCAACAATTGGGAATTTATTTCATATCTGCGGGTTTCCTAGACTAACGCTTAGTCTCTGAATATATATAATTTTGATAGTAACAAACAAGCCCATTTATATTGAAAAGGAGCCCCAGGGAGACCAGAGATTCAGAACCTGAGGAAATCTAGCCTTGCTTTATTTAGGGCTTTAGCACTGCAGATGGGGCTTGGCAGTAGGGAAAATAACGTGGTTCAGGGACTGTGAGACAGACTACGGGTTTCCTTTCAGTTGTATTAATGTGCAATATAGCGTCATCGGCGAGTTGATGCATATGAGTTTATTTGAGTTTAGTTGCTATTCTGATGCAACATCACGCACAAATTCGAGTTTATCGAGGAACTTCAAAGACGACTCACGGGATCGGGATTGTTTGTTTGTTGTTTTACGCCGCACTCAGCAATATTCCAGCTATATGGCGGCGCTCTGTAAATAATGGAGTCTAGACCAGACAATCCAGTGATCAACAGCATGAGCATCGATCCCGGGATCGGGTGGTAGGCACGCTTAAATGGTTGATGTCATCGTATCCCGATTACGAAGACCGATGCGTTTGATGTTGGTTGGTTGGGTGGTTTGTTGTTTAACACCACACTCATCGATATTCCCGCTATATGGCGGCGGTTTGTAAACAATCGAGTTTAGACCAGACAATCAACATCATGAGCATCGTTCTACGCAATTAGGATACGATGACATGTGTCAACCAAGTCAGCGAGCCTGACCACCCGATCCCGTTAGTCGCCCCTTACGACAAGCATGGGTTGCTGAAGATCAATTCTAACCTGAATCTTCACAGGTCGCGCTTGCTGTCAATCGTGGGGTTGTCTGGTACAGAGAATCTCACCCGAGTGTCTTTTGATATCAAATATATCACCACGTGTTGACAAAGTTACAAATATCCAAGGCTTGCCGAGGATACTTTTACGTTTATTAACAAGTGTTGAGATATTTGATATCAGAAGACACGAGGGTGAAATTCTATTTATCATCAAAACGTTTTCAGTGAAAAATGTACATCTCGGAACAGGGTACTGCCAATAGACTTGCAGTGGAGCGATGTCATAGCATTGTGATGTCATCAAATTCATGACGTCATATCATTGTCCGGGCATTGTACAAAATCTACTGTCAAAACGATATCTCCAAGGAGATATTGTTTGATCTCACACAAGCAATATCTCCTGTGGAACACAGTTGTGGATGATAAATTCGGTTATTTTACAGACCGAGGTTATATTGCTTCGTGGGGCGTGAAACGACGAACGAATATATTGGTGTTATTTCAATTAAGAATGTTGTCCAATTTGACATGTGTTTTTATGCTAGTATACTTTCCCATCTGGTACAATGGCATGTGTTGTCAGATTTACAGAAATGTTTATGATCTGTGCAAAATAGGAATAAATAGAGATTTGTCCCAAAGCGTAGATGTCGTATTGTATTTACAACACGAGAGACTGAAAATATTACATTGTATTTCCCGAGTGAGAGCGAGTGAAATTTCATTTTTCTAGCACGAGAGTTGTAAATACAATATGACATCTACGCGAGTGTGTTAATTTCAATATTAGGCCCACTCTTCAGAAGGCTTTGATTACAATTAACTGTGTTGTACCGCAGTTTCAATGTTGAAGGCGATCTAAATATAGCCTGGAAGCGTATGAATACATATAGGGCAAAGGTAAATATCGCTGCCCGCATTTTGATGTCACGTGATTGTCTCAACTTCCCCATGAAAATGGCCTCTTGGGTATATTACACGTGTGCTAAGCATCAAAAATATGTCATCACTTATTTTAACACATGTGGATAATAAAATCAGTTTAAATACATCTGAACAGTTTTTTGTTTGCATTATAGTGTATTAGGCCTATACTGAACGCCAATTCACCAACAGCCAGAAGCGTATCATGTCAGTTGAAGAAAAGGAGAATATAGTGTCCTGTTTGTATGGGCTTGTCAGTCTGTGCAATTTCTTCAGGGGGAAGGTACAATGTGTGAAGCCCATTTCTGGCGTCCCCCTGCCGTGATATTGCTTGAATATTACTAAAAGCGGCGTAAAACTTCTAAACTCACTCACTCACTCACTCGGTATCAACAGCCAATCGGACAATCCTGTCCAAGAGTCAAGTCCAAAATAATACTAAGAATTGTCTCTTTATCCCTGAGGATGAGTCTTGTAATGGTGCCACGTGCGACCTGTGCATTACACGTATAATCAGCATACAGTATCCAGCTCCCCAACCATTTGGAATTAGGAATTTAATTAATAAATTCAGATAAAACAGCTAAAAATAAACATGATTAGACCAATGTCTTTTTCTAGCGAGTAAGCCATACATGATTGGCGATTTCTTAACAATAGAACGTCTCCAATGTTTGGTTGGGAGTGAGTGAGTGAGTTTGGTTTTACGCCGCTTTTAGCAATATTCCAGCAACATCACAGCGGGGGACACCAGAAATGGGCTTCACACAATGTACCCATGAGGGGATTCGAACCCGGGTCTTCGGCGTGACGAGCCAACAAAGCTTTAACCGCTAGGCTACCCCACCGCCCCGTTTGGTTGGGAGATGGGGCATGTGTTAAGTTTTTAATGTGAGGTAGTTTTACTGGGACGTGAAGTGGCGTCTGGAATATATTCAGCGTTAGGCACGGGGACTTGGTTGAGGTAATCTATTAATTCGACATGCCGGTAGGGGCATCGTGTGTTGTTGCTGTTGCAGCTGTTCACAGCGCGACAGTGTGGTAACACAACAAAACGACAAACGTCAAAGTCCCACCAATTGTTCATTTTTTTTTCACTCATTACTCACGTATTAAATGTGAATATTAGCAGAACATAACTCCAGATTCAAAGACAGGTGAACAGTTATTAAATTACATTTGTGACGTCATTCCATTGTCTGTTCGCTCCATTACTTTTCAGGAATGGAGCGATGTGTACCAGTTTCAAAATAAAACCTTCATTTTGTCATTTTGACATTTAATTTTGAAAACAGAAATATTCCCAATACTTCAAATGTAATATAAGTAGGGTAATATCCTCGTAACTCTGGGGCCTCGGCTCCATTATTTTTTAAGGAATGGAGAGTTACTCGGACATTACCCTCTACGTATTTTGTCAAGTCACCATGGGCAGCAATGCAGGCTTCAATGCGGCGGGGCATACTACTGATCAAAGAAGTTAAAAAGTCGTGGTCCATGCTGTCCCAATATCGGACCACCTCTTCTTTCATTTCAGCAATATTTGTCAGATGTGTCTTATTGACACTTTCCTTCATAAGTCCCCTAACATTTCCTATTGGATTTAGGTCAGGGCTATAGCTTGGCCAATCTAATAATGTCCGCAACCAGGCGATGTTTTGGGTCGTTGTCCTGCTGGAAAATCCAAAACTTTCCATAGAGCACGTGAGCAGATGGAAGTAAATGTCCCTCGAGAATATCTATGTACCGCTCACTGTTCATATTCCCTTCAAATACACACAGGGGCGTTGCCACTAACTCAGATATGCCACCCCACACGTTAGATTTCGGGCTGTACTTTGGGCGTTGACACAGTTTGTTTGGTTTAGAATTTCAGTGTATAAGGAAACAGCCACACATTACTTTCATCTGAGAAGATCACATTGTCCCAGTTTAAATTTCTATGCCGTAAGCACCAGTTCAACCTTCGCTCCTTTTGTTCAGGTTTCATGATCGGTGATGGAATTCCTCGACTTTTCTGCCAACCCATTTCATGCAGCTCAGTTCTAATTGTCTCTTTACAGACAGCCACAGTTCCTCTATCAATCATATCCAGCCTTAAGTTTTCTAAACTCCTTCGTTTGTTTTTAGAAAAAAGAATACCAAGCCGCCTCTTGTCACCGACAGTAAATTTTCTGGGCCTTCCTGTGCCTCCCTGGTGCTAAAAACACGATAAACAGTGGACAAATGGATGCCTGTTCTACTTGAAATCACTTTAGCTGATCTGATGTCCTTGTTATAATACTCTAAAATCAACTTCCTCTTCTCTAAATCATCCATACTGAACATCACTGAAAATGTCGTCTGCTAGCAAGTAAACGAAGGGGGATAACTCTTCACAAACTAATGAATAAGGATTAACAGAGTTGTCTCTCTTGAATGAAACCAAGCACTTGATAGCTGGTCAAGGTTGTTTATACTAGAAATCCAATTGAACATATTCCTAAAATTCTCAATAATTTCTGGTCATACTATATATGTTAGCGTCAATAACGAAACTCCGTCAGTGGCGTTACTGCCTAGTCAATAAGAGAACAGATGTCCAAGGTTAGTCAGTAAGCTTATTGACTGAGTCAATAAGGATACTGCCTGAAATTTATAGTAGGCAGTAGCGTTACTCCCTAATACATAAAACAATAAGAATACACATTAAAAAGTTGAAATTTATTGTCTCATCTCATATACACAGAAGAGTAAATTGATTGATTACATATTCATATTACATGAAAACTTGAGGACATCATAAATGTGGATTATTTATTAGAGCAAGAACTGGAATTATGTACGGAACCGTAGAAGGGACATCGAATGAGAAAATAAATATCAATAGTAAGTCGTGGGCACGAGATAATAAGGCGAGGCCACGAGATAATAAGGCGAGGCCACGAGATAATAAGGCGAGGCCACGAGATAATAAGGCGAGATAATAAGGCGAGGCCACGAGATAATAAGGCGAGGCCACGAGATAATAAGTCGAGGCCACGAGATAATAAGGCGAGGCCACGAGATGATAAGGCGAGGCCACGAGATAATAAGGCGAGGCCACGAGATAATAAGGCGAGGCCACGAGATAATAAGTCGAGGCCACGAGATAATAAGATCATACCGAATGCTTTATCCTGTATACTGAAGAGCTTCATACCGAATGCTTTATCCTGTATGCTGAAAAGCTTCATACCAAATGCTTTATCCTGTAAACACAAGGTTTGATACTGAACACTTTATCCTGCATACTGAAACTGACGGTTCTGTTCTCTACCCTGGTGTATCCCCGTCACGTAGCTAAACTAAGTCGGCGTGGGTTTTATTCCCCACATGGGTACAATTCATGAAGCCCATTTCTGATGTAACCTGCCGTGATATTGCTGGAATATTGCTAAAAGCGGCGTAAATTTAAACTCACTCAATCAATCCACAGGCTGGTGGGGTAGCCTTGTGGTTAAAGCGTTCGCTCGTCGACCCGTAGACCTGGGTTTTATTCCCCACCTGGGTACAATTCATGAAGCCCATTTCTGATACCTGCCGTGATATTGCTGGAATATTGCTAAAAGCGGTGTAAAACTAAACTCACTCACTCACTCGATCCACAGGGTGGTGGGGTAGCCTTATAGATAAAGCGTTCGCTCGTCGGACCGTGGGCCTGGGCTTTATTCCCCACATGGGTATTGGAATATTGCTAAAAGCGGCGTAAAACTAAACTCACTCACTCACTCACTCAATCCACAGGGTGGTGGGGTAGCCTTATAGATAAAGCGTTCGCTCGTCGGACCGTTGGCCTGGGCTTTATTCCCCACATGGGTACAATTCGTGAAGCCCATTTCTGGTGTTCCCTGTCGTGATATTGCTGGAATATTGCAAAAAGCGGCGTAAAGCAAAAGTCACTCACTCACTCAATCCACAGGGCCGTGGGGTAGCCTCCAACAATTGGGAATTTATTTCATGTCCTAGACTAACGTTTAGTCTCTGAATATATATATAGTTTTGATAGTAACAAACAAGCCCATTTATATTGAAAAGGAGCCCCAGGGAGACCAGAGATTCAGAACCTGAGGAAATCTAGCCTTGCTTTATTTAGGGCTTTAGCACTGCAGATGAGGCTTAGCAGTAGGGAAAATAATGTGGTTCAGGGACTGTGAGACAGACTACGGGTTTCCATTCAGTTGTATTAATGTGCAATATAGCGTCATCGGCGAGTTGATGCATATGAGTTTATTTGAGTTTAGTTGCTATTCTGATGCAACATCACGCACAAATTCGAGTTTATCGAGGAACTTCAAAGACGACTCACGGGATCGGGATTGTTTGTTTGTTGTTTTACGCCGCACTCAGCAATATTCCAGCTATATGGCGGCGCTCTGTAAATAATGGAGTCTAGACCAGACAATCCAGTGATCAACAGCATGAGCATCGATCCCGGGATCGGGTGGTAGGCACGCTTAAATGGTTGATGTCATCGTATCCCGATTACGAAGACCGATGCGTTTGATGTTGGTTGGTTGGGTGGTTTGTTGTTTAACACCACACTCATCGATATTCCCGCTATATGGCGGCGGTTTGTAAACAATCGAGTTTAGACCAGACAATCAACATCATGAGCATCGTTCTACGCAATTAGGATACGATGACATGTGTCAACCAAGTCAGCGAGCCTGACCACCCGATCCCGTTAGTCGCCCCTTACGACAAGCATGGGTTGCTGAAGATCAATTCTAACCTGAATCTTCACAGGTCGCGCTTGCTGTCAATCGTGGGGTTGTCTGGTACAGAGAATCTCACCCGAGTGTCTTTTGATACCACCAACAACCCTCAGTGCCGCAAATATGCATAGATTTGCTGATAAATTATCCCCGAACTTTAGACGAATGTGTTGGTTGCTGGACACTCAGTGTTTTCTGCTGTGTCATTTCCCCGGCTCAATAAATATAGCTCGGGGACTGACTGAGTTTTGGTTTTACGCCACTTTTAGCAATATTCCAGCAACATCACGGCGGGGGACACCAGAAATGGGCTTCACACATTGTACCCATGTGGGGATTCGAACCCGGGTCTTCGGCGTGACGAGCCAACGCTTTAACCACTAGACTACCCCACCGCCCCTATAGCTCTGGCAACACAGATAAGCAGGATCACATCAAAATGGTCAAGGCAAAGAAGTGGATACTTGCTTCACAATTTGTGGGGGAGCCAAAAGGGCTCCAACTTCAAGTTCGAAGAGGAGAACCTTCCTGCATTGAAAAATGGAGGTGAGAGTATGGCGTAATGATGGCCTTGTGATCTCCCACTTACACAGTCCGCCGCGATTATGTTTAAGTATTGTTGCATCTGGAGTAATATATGGCAATCACTCATATACATTTTAATTATTGATGGGTGTATTATTTCAACCACTGTCAGACGAAAAACTAGATGCAATAGTTTTAAGCATCTATGCTTTCTAACATGTCACAAATGTTAGCGTTCCTTTGAATTACGAAAGCCTAAAGCAGCCATTTTTTGTAAGATAAGATAGTTTTTCAGTGACATTTCTCTTTCCTTCGATTAGTTTTCTCATTGCTTCGTGTATTTTCTCGTTATTTCAATATTTTCTCATTGCTTCAATTAATTGGTCAAGTATTTAACAACTTGAAATGCAGAAATTCAGAATGATTTCTCGTTGCTTCGACATTTCGACTTCGATTAATTTTCGTGGATGTTTCGGGCTAGTACTATTTTAAGACATAATATAAATCTAAGCATGTGAAGCATGAATATGACATCGTTGCCATCGTTAATAGTGAGTGATAATGAGTTTTTCGCCGCTTTTAGCAATATTCCAGCAATATCACCGCGGCGGAACACCAGAAATGGGCTTCACACATTGTACATGTGGTGAATCGAACACGGGTCTTGGGTGTGACGAGCAAACGCCCAGACGTGACTTAATATGTCATGTTTAGATTCTTGTCAAAATTAATGAGCTAAGCTTGGGCTTAAATTGTTAAATAATATAATCTCTTTAATTTGATTTATTACTCATTTAGTATTAAGATATGGATATAATGATACAAACTTTGAAATTAATTCAATGATTTATATACTATTCTGCCTTGTTTCGTTTGATTTAGGACTCATTTAGTTAGCCAATAATGAGCAATCAATCACTGTATTGGCGGTTAATCCTTTGAAGGAAGGGCGTTGTTTTTACGCAGACACAGCCACGACAGAGTGTATTCAGTATAGATTAATAAATCTACATACATAAACTCTACCTTTTGACAAATCCGCTGTGTAAGATAAAAGTAATTAATCAATCAGCGTGTTATCGGTTAATCCTTTGATCTATGTTTATAATGTTGAATATTTACTCCAGACAAAAGAAATGTCAAATGGGAACCTTTGTCGGGTAATCTAAGTGGTGTTACCACTAATTATACCTGTTATAAATTCATTAACTGACCATCAAGTGAATGATGACAAATAACATGTGTAGGTTTATACCACCTAACACGGGTTACAACGAGGGAGTATTAATTGCTGTATTGCATGCAATTTTAATTGCATGTGAAAACTTATGGGCCGAAACTGTTTTGAGAATACAAACAGAACTTCATTGTTGCATAAGAAATACATATAAGCATTTGCTGTGTGCTAAAACTGTATGTACCTATTTACCTAAGTAAAATTTCAGATTCTTCTAGCAATGGCAAAATAGGGTTGTTTAGTTTACCGATTCAAATAAATCAAATGTTAATTTTTAATATCACGCGTAATAGACGTCATATTTTACATGACATGATTAAATATCGAGGTAAAAAAACACAGAAATGGGATCAATTTGGATCAGTCATTATACAAATAAGGCCTAACGACACCAAGCGATTTTGACAGAATCGTCTATGAAAACAAGTTGTAACTCGGAAACTAGGCAAAGTAGGAGACAAAATTATATGACAGAAGATTGTGAGAACATATAGCTTTCATTTTCCACAACAGTTGTCACGATTTCAGGTTTATACAAACCTGTAAACAAGATAATTTACCCCCTGAAATGTACATGAATTCTGCATCGGCCCTCGTAATCTCCTCATATGACGTCACAGAGACGCCCCGCTCTGATTGGTTGAAATTTCGTTCGCGGGTGAGAATTGTGCACTGTTGTCAAAAAGGTCGATTTAAGTTGATTAAAGATCGAAGTGACTAGTTTTAATGACGGGGTTTCATTTATAACGATGCCAGTTAGTGATTTATGTATTTGTAACCCCCTAGAGTATATGTGATCTTTAACTGTGTTGTACCGCAGTTTCAATGTTGAAGGCGATCTAAATAAGCCTGGAAGCGTATGAATACATATAGGGCAAAGGTCAATATCGCTGCCCGCATTCTGATGTCACGTGATTGTCTCAACTTTCCCCTGAAAATGGCCTCTTGGGTACATTACACGTGTGCTAAGTATCAAAAATATGTCATCACTTATTTTAACACATGTGGATAATAAAATCAGTTTAAATACAACTGAACAGTTTTTTGTTTGCATTATAGTGTATTAGGCCTATACTGAACGCCAATTCACCAACAGCCAGAAGCGTATCATGTCAGTTGAAGAAAAGGAGAATATAGTGTCCTGTTTGTATGGGCTTGTCAGTCTGTGCAATTTCTTCAGGGGGAAGGTACAATGTGTGAAGCCCATTTCTGGCGTCCCCCTGCCGTGATATTGCTTGAATATTACTAAAAGCGGCGTAAAACTTCTAAACTCACTCCCTCGGTATCAACAGCCAATCGGACAATCCTGTCCAAGAGTCAAGTCCAAAATAACACTAAGAATTGTCTATTTATCCCTGAGGACGAGTCTTGTAATGGTGCCACGTGCGACCTGTACATTACACGTATAATCAGCATACAGTATCCAGCTCCCCAACCATTTGGAATTAGGAATTTACTTAATAAATTCAGATAAAACAGGTAACAATAAACATGATTAGACCAATATCTTTTTTCTAGCGAGTAAGCCATACATGATTGGCGATTTCTTAACAATAGAACGTCTCCAATGTTTGGTTGGGAGTGAGTGAGTGAGTTTGGTTTTACGCCGCTTTTAGCAATATTCCCGCAACATCACAGCGGGGGACACCAGAAATGTGCTTCACACAATGTACCCATGTGGGGATTCGAACCCGGGTCTTCGGCGTGACGAGCCAACGCTTTAACCACTAGGCTACCCCACCGCCCCTGTATTAAATATAG